TTTTTTCCTCTACTGATCATGTAAAATATCTGAGCAAATTAAGAATTTTGCACAACCCTTGGCCACTTTTGTACGTCTCCTTATGTAAAGGTAGGACACAGAGTCTTTTGATGTGATTTGGGCCTTAGATATCAGGTTTACACTGGTATTTTATGCCTTAAATTACACTGGTCTTTTTACACTGGTAGAAACTTATCAAAGGCCCAAAGGATTGGTTAGAAAAGGCTTCACCAAACCAAGATACATGTGGGATAACCCAGAAAGAGAAACAGGAATATCTCAATTCTTACAGCAGCCCAAATGCAGCAGATTCCACCTGAGAGCTCAAAGCACATTAGAGGACAGTGCAGCTGCTCCTGTCACCCGAAATGTGTGAAACTCCACCTGGAGTTGTTTTAATTTGTGTTCAGATTCACAGCTGCCTCTCTACAAAATCAGATTCCATGGCCCAGTCCTGTTCCTGCATCACAGGAGGGCAGCTGTGGCGAGACCGGTCAGTGCTGCCACACAACGTGAACTGCAGGGAAATGAGGGCAAACACTGCAGGCTGTGGGATTTTGTCACACTTTTTTTATATCAGAAACCCTACTGGCATCCTTTATGAACCCGCGTGAAGCAAAGACAGCCCCAACCCTGGAAGAAGGGGGGTTTTTTGACACCCATTTGGTCTGACGTGTGAGAAACTCCCCCTGCTGAGGTGAGAGGCTGCTGCAGTCAGGCAGGACTGATCCTGTCTGAGGTTAGGAGGCCACCTCGGAGCAGCTCTGACAACAGGGGCTGCTCTAGCCAAGGGCAAAATATGCAGTGGTGGCAGCAGGGGAAAGCAAAACCGGGTCTAAAGCACTGGTGGGAAGCTGGAAATGAGCTTGCAAGGGGAACGAGCTTGTAACTTCTGATGGCTAAAACATGTTTGTGTGGAGCTGTGGACATGGGAACAGGAGAGCAACAGCTCTAAAGTGAAACACAAAGCTACAGAAGTAGAGACCAGTCACTAGTGGGGCTCCACAGGGCTCCAGGAATGGCCTGGAGCTGTGTCAGGCAGGTTTAGGTTGAATATTAGGAAAAGGTTCTTCCCCCAGAGGGTGGTTGGCACTGACCAGGCTCCCCAGGGCAGTGGGCACAGCCCCAAGGCTGCCAGAGCTCCAGGAGGGTTTGGATGATCCTCTGGGGCACAGGGGGTGACTCCTGGGGTTGTCTTGGGCAGGTCCAGGAGTTGGACTCGATTTCTGTGGGCCAATTCCAACTCAGGGCATTTTGTGACTCTGTGATTCTATGAAGCAAAATGCCTCTTGCAGAAGTGGGTAACAGTGGGGGCTGTTTAAAAACAAGGCAAGAGGAATACCTCAGGCCACCTCCTCCTTTTAGCATAGAAAGACCTGTTAAGGAATTCTATAAATATGAACCTAATTAATGTGAAAAAAATAGCATTTTTTGTGTCTTGGAGAGTTGGGGGGGATGTTTGTGAATTATTGATATTGCTTGGTGGTGCAACACCTGCTATAAATAAAACCACAAGCTGTAGGAGGTAGCATAAACAAATACACTCTCACATCCTCATGCCTAAACCACAGCCCTCACCAAAAAGCCATTCATTCTGTGAGTGCAGAAGAGGGAGAACTGCAGTACCTCTCTTCTGGGTGTTTAAATGGGAATCCTTTGCTACTTGCAGCAGGAAAAAGATTTCAGAGTTCAAAAGGACTCTTAAAAAGCTCATTTGTGGTTTCAGGAAATTCCAACATGGTGAAGCCAAATCACACCATGAATATTCAGTATCTGTGCATCCTGTCTGTTGTCACTTTTTGGACCATAACCTTTATTCCCCTCTCTGCCTGTTTTGGACAGGACTTTCCTCACCTTCAGGAGATCTACTGGTGCTCATTCAGCCTCTCACTGATGATCAGATGGCTGAAGAAAGGTGGCAGAGATAAACCTTGATCTGTAATGAAAGGCACACCACATTTGAGAAAAACAGTGAAACAATCCACTGTTTTCCAGTCTCCAAGCCTGTATAAGCAGGTACATTGAATACTGGTCTAATAAAGACTCAAATGCATGTCACTTATATGCTGTGGTGCTAAACTGCTCCTAATATAATAGATATATCATTTCAATATAATAATTAAAAGTTTGTATTTTTCATGGGAACAAAATATTCTAATTAAACAAATAAAACAAGGGCTGCCATTGAAAAGCCATGATTCTCCACACAACATCTGTGGAAAAAAATGTCACCAGGCCCTCAGCAGACTCACTAAGGAGGAATTCACGAGTCTACACTGATGCTAAAAATGTAGCTGCACGAATGGAGACTGCTCTGTGGAAAAAAACTTCTATATAGACTACTTTAATTAGCATGAAGTGTGGTTAAACTAGGGCAACTCCACATGTATAATTCCTTTCATGCCACTGTAAAACTTAATCTGGTTTAGATTCACTCACTTCCAAACCAACCTTGGGAAAAGACGGTCAGCTCAAAATAAGAATGAGATTGAGAATGAGGCCACTTTATTGAAGGGAAATTAAATTAGACCTTTTCATAGAGCAGGAAAATGTCTTTCTGTGGACAAATTCATGAGCAGGCTCTTGACACAGATTTGCTTTCAGGGGAAACCAAAGCAGATCTTTTGTTGGAGGCTGTGAGGTGCTCAGCATCCTGAATTCCCATGGATTCCCTTGATCAGAGCTTTGACAAGAGAAACAAAATAGGAGCATTTGTGTAAAGCAGGACTTTGCTTTCTGTCCTCTGAGAACAGGCTGTGTTTGTTACCTTTAGCTCTCTGTTTGACAGGGTTTATTCACCAGCTCTGCAGCAGCAATTCTGGGATTGTGTTACCTGTCTGAAACACCTTTCACAGCAGAGACCTTTGAGAATATCCCATTCTTGGGGTCTGAACCAATTAAATGCTTTTTTTTAATGAATAGTTTATTCACCTAAATGACAGGTAACTGTGAATTTGACCTAAATTTACCAGGCAGCTTTGAACCTGTTTTCAAGTGAGGGGGAGAGAAGAAGATGTTTAATTTTAGCATTTGGAAAAGAAGATGTTTCCATTCTTTATATCTGATTTACACCACCAGTGGTTTATGGACATCAAGGTGGCAACACCATAAGAGAAGTAACTGAGCCCTCTTTGGTGGACTTTGCAATGTATAGTGGTGATATACGTGGACTTTGCAATGTCCCAGTGTTTAGTGGTCATATAGATGCTGTAGGAACTCACATGACATTTATTTCTGGATGGAAACACAGTTTCTTACAAAGCCTAAGTGATACAGAAAAAACAACCATGTCATTCATGTTACTTTGCATTCAAAATAGAAAACTTCTTAACATTGTTTTTAGAAGAAGACCAATAAATTTTGATGGAAACCAGGTTTCTTTTTACAGCTATATAGGTTTAATATCTAAAGTGGTGGTTGGAGATTTCCTTCAGGATAAACATTCCCATTTTGGAGAGCAATCATTTAGCTTTTTCACACCTTAAATCCTACATGGCTCACAGACCTAATTTTGGTCTCATGGGATGCTGCAGGCCTGCAACTGGTTCTGGAATTACCAGGGATTCAACTACATGAAATACTGAAAACCAACCAATATAACCAACTGCAAGCAGCCTTTTGTAGGTCTCTGTGCCCTTCAAACAAGAGCCATTGGAGGGATACTGAGTGAACAGTGAATCCACTCCACACAGAATGCTAAAATGATTCCTTTAAAGTGCATTTACTCTTTTTTCACAAGAACCTGTAATGCTGAAAGCACCAAAACAATGAGAGAAGAAAACCTTAAGGCACTGTCAACTTAGAAACCACAAACAGCAGAGGGGAGAAGAGGAAATTTGTTTCACAGACTGATTCTGCTTCTTTTGGAATGAAGGCAAAATGCTCACAACTTCAAGTACCTCCAATTTTTTACCAAGTCTGCATGCCCATTAAAATCAATGATCAAATATTTTCAGATATGAAGGGCTTTGCTCGGTTTTGTTGTGGTTGTTGGTTTTGTTTGGGGTTTTTTTGTTTGTTTGGGTTTTTTTTGTTTGTTTGGGGATTTGCTTGTTTGTTTTAACACAGTACCCACTCTCCCATGGGAGTATAAAGCACTGGAGAAATCCCAGACATTTACTGAACACTTCTCCAGCACATTCCCCAACACATCTACTTCTCTGAATGCCCAACTGACGCATTTCCTGGGACAGAAAGGAAAGGGAAAGACTTCCAGAAACCTCATAGTGGGTTGAGTCTGGCTGAATTCCAGGTGCCCCTCCAGTCACTCCCCGACTCCCTCTTCTCAACTGGACAGGGGAGGGAAAATCCAACAAAGAAAGGCTCATAGGTCAAGCTAAGGGAGAGATCACTCACCGATTACCACTATGGGCAAAGCAGACTCGACTTGGGGGAAATTAATCTATTGCTAATCAAATTCGGGTAGGATAATGAGAAATAAAACCAAATCATAAGACGCTTTCCCTCACCTCTCCCTCCTTCCCAGGCTCAGCTTCACTCCCGGTTTCTCTGCCTCCTCCTGTCCAGCAGGGGGACCGGGAACGGGGGTTGTGGTCAGTCCATCACACTGCTCTGCTGCTCCTTCCTCTTCACGGGGAGGACTCCTCAAACTCTTTCCCTGCTCCAGTGTGGGGTCCTCCAGGAACTTCTCCAGCCTGAGCCCTTCCCTCGGGCAGCAGTTCTTCACGAACTGCTCCAGCACGGGTCCTTTTCCACAGGGTGCAGTCCTTCTCCAGAGTGGGCTCCTCTCTCCACAGCTCCCTCCCAGGTCTCTGCTCCAGCCCAGGCTTCCCACGGGGTCACAGCCTCCCTCAGGCATCCAGTGTGGGCTCCTCCAAGGGCTGCAGGTGGAATCTCTTCTCACAGAAGTCACCCCTGTAGTCCACCCCATAACCAAATCCTTGCCACACAAACCTAATACACTCCTTTAACTCCAGCTTCTCATTACATTTTCTACAGCTCCCTAAACACAGTTATCTCCCAAATGACCACTGGCAGAATGATATCAACAGGTTGATTTAATAACAATGGTAATAGCTTGTTGTGTCTGGCCTGGAGGAGAGATGTGAGATATATAAACACGGGGATGTGTTTATATATAAAACAAAGGGATCCCTTCCAACACACACACACCTCATGCTGAGCTTGCAAAATATTTAGGAAGGGAAAACTCAAGTGACTTCTCCTTCACCAGCACGTGGAAGGGCCCTTCATAGGATGGTGTATTCCCTCACTACACTGTGCACATCAACACCAGCAACATCAGCATAGAGTTCAGGCACCACTGGCTCAGGCACCTGCAGAACTGTGTGGCCATTGCTGCTCTTCAGAGCTGCTTTCAGGGACCAGAGGAGCTGTGCTGGAGAAGGCCTGTTAGCTGCATCCCACTGCCAGCAGGACTTCATGATGCTGTACCTGTAAGATGGAGAAGCAGGGAAAACATTGGTAATGAGAAGCAACCAACACCAAGTTTTACCACAGTCAAGTCATCTCATATTTAAAACGTCCAGAGAACTCCCCTTTTTCCTCCTCCATGTGAAGTTCTTTCAGTGACCCTTCTCCTCCTGCCAAATCCTTAGTTTGAATGGGTTCTTTATTCATCAGTATCAGTGATACACCAAATTCAGCTTCTCACACCATAGAGAGTCACATCTGTACTAAGATTTTCATAGGCAGCCACATAATAACGCATGGGCGTGCAGTTGTTTGCCAGGATGTCTACTGGGATTGTGGGAAATGGGAAGAATATCGTCTGGCATCCCCTTTTGAAACAGCATGATGGATGAAAAAAACTCTGAATATTAAAAGAAATTGTGTCTTCATACAAGGAAATGTGCCTTAGATCTTTCCTGTGATGCTGTGCTCATTTCAGGGAATATCCCACCACTCAGAGGAGAAAGATCACTCCAGAGTAGTCCTGCACCTTGCAAGGAAGCAGTGGAGCAACAAAATGCAAAGAACAAGTATAATTTCTACAAGAAGAAAGCAGAAACAAGTGGGATTTTCAAAAGAAGGAAACAAAAACAAGTGTCATTTTCAAAAGAAGAAAAGAAAGGTTTTGGTCATCAAGGGTTTCATGCAGCAGAACCCAGTGAGGAGATGTGGCAGACATTAGAACAAGTCTCAGCTTAGTCCAGACTTAGAGATTTGGGGTAAGATCTGTTTTTCCATGTCTCACTTCCATTTAGCTCTGCAGATCTCCTGTTCAATCACCCACAAAGCAAGGGGCTTACATGGCTTGCTGGCAGAGTGAGGGCTGCTTCATGATGTTCTGTCTCTGCAGGTGTGATAAGATGTCAGGAGGTGGCACCTCAGGATACGGTGGAGCACCTGGAAGGACAAAAGGAGTAACAGTAGAACAACTCAGTGGCAATGGCTGCAGGTAACAGCTGCTGTGCAAGCTCCTGTGCAACAGAAGGATCATGTCATCTGGATAATATGACCTCAGAAGAAAGGCTGAAAGAAACTGCAGCTATTTAAGCTTAACAAGCCAAGATGAGAGACGGAGATATTTGATTTCAAGTATAGGGAGAATATTCCACAAGGAGGATGGGAAAACAACAGTCTTCCATGTTCATGATGGGTGAAACACATAACAAGTTAAACTTCACCAGAAAAAAAAAATTCTAGTTCATACAATAGAAAAAATTTCTTGTCAGGGGGATGAAGTACTAGAATAGAATATTTCACCTGTTCTGAAAGACTTCTAAGAGAAAACAGAAGGTAAAGTGACACAGTATAGCTGATCCCATTAAGGGGCAGATGGCTGGATGAACTCAGTGTGTTCTGGCCTCTCACAGCCTGTTTTCCTCTGATAAGAAAACATTTTCCTCTTATAAATAACATGTAGAGAAACTTCCTTTGTTGAAAGTGAAATGTTTTGGAGGAATGTACTGCCTTGGGTAGCACATGTGCTGCCTTGGGTAAGTCTGTTGGGATTTTGACTTACATGATTTTGAACTGACTTTTTCAGTTGTTGTTCTGAAACAACAAATTCAATATGGAAAATGAAAATCCAGACAATGAAAATCCCTTCCCTACCAAGATCTAGTTTTTTTTCCCTACCACAATTCACACTGACAGAAAGCCTTAAAGGAATTGTCAAGACTTTGCAAGTTGGAAAAAAAAACAGGGTGCTTATTTAAGTGGCCCAACCTTACATGTTGAAATTTGAGATTTTGGGTTCTTGTTAATTTGCTGCTTCTGTAAAAAAAATTTTTTTTAATTATCACAAAATCTCCTTACCTAATGTAATCATTTCATACAGTAGAATTCCAAAAGACCACCTGCAAGGGAAGAAAACAAAGCAATGTGGAGCATTGTGCTGTGACTGGATACGCCTTTGGGACATGAAAATGATACATAAAGGAGTGAAAGAGACAGGTCTGACAGACTTCTAGTCCAAAAATTAATCCCTACACGTCTGCCTTGATGCTGGGGGGCTTCCTCAGGAGCCTCTCTGGGGCCTGCCACTTGACTGGCACACCCCGTGTGACCGAGGTGGCACCACGAGCGTGGGTTTCATAGGCCAGACCCAAACCACAGAGCTTGGCAGAGAAGTTGGGATGGAGGAGGACATTCCTGGCAGCAATATCACCATGGAACAGCTTCTTCTCTTCAAGGTAAGCCTGGGAAGTTGGAAAAGAAAGAAAACCATGATCATTTTAAAAGGAAATTTAGTTGATATAAATTTTCACTCAGTTCAAGCTTGTCTTCCACGCTGTGGAGCAAGAGGGACATACTCACCAACATCATGCAAGCACAGTGGGCTCTGTTTTAACAAAGCACACATTCTCAGTGCTTAGGCCAAGAAGACTTAGGCACTGTGAAGATTTGTGTTGCAATCAAGCAAGAAGGAAAAAAAATGCAGTAAATGGGAGCAGACTTACCAGGGCTGCTGCAACCTGCTGTCCAACTTCATAAACTTGCCTCTCAGTGAGGTCATAGGGGATCCCATCCATTGCCATTACATCCTAGAGACAAATTTGTTTGGTTCCAACAAGTGACAGGATAGTGGGGAATGCTTCCTTCTCATCTCATAAAACGAGTACTATCTAATCTTATGCTCCCACATGTAATTTCACAGTTGGTCATAAATTGACTGAAATGCAGAATCCCAGAATGTGCTGAGTTGGAAGGGATCCCTCAGGATCACCAAGTCCAATCCTGGCCCTGCACAGGACACCCCAGCAATGCCTGAGAGCATTGTCCAAACATCTCTTGAACTTAGACAGCCTTGGTGCTGTGCCCACTGCCCTGGGGAGCCTGTTCAGTGCCCAACCACCCTCTGTGTGAAAAACTTTTCCTGATATCCAATCTAAACCTCCCCTGATATCTGGGTTGTTTTTTTTCAGCTTGAGTTAACATTTCCAAAGGGCTGCATATTTTCATACTATCAGATCTCATACTTTCAGATTTTCATTCCTCATCAGCAATGGGCAGATATGGAGCCATCATTTACATATGTGAAACTAAGATTGCTTTTCCACCTGTGCATCATTTCATTTTTAGCCATGCTGAATTTCATTTGTTCTTTTTATTGGCCAGTCTCTCAATCTGGGAATATCCTTCTGCAATTCCTCTGGGTCAGCCTTTACTGGTTGGAATCATCAGCAACCATCATCACCTCACTGTCATCCCATTTTCTAGGTTATCAATACATGCAACATCAGCACCAGGTCCTAGACAGTTGAGCTCCCTCCAGTGAAAGTACCAGCCTTTCACTCTTATATTCTACTTCTTGCCTTTTAACCAATTAGTTATTATTTAATGACCTTCTCCCTGGTGTTGTAACTGCTCTGTTTCCTTAAAAGCATTTGGAGTGGGACATTATTTCAAACTTCGCAAATTCAGGCACCTGTATCAATTCTCACTCTAATTCCAGTGCTCTATGTTTCAAGGAGGTCCAATGGTCTGCAAAGCTGGACTTGGCTTTACAGAACTGTGTCAGCTTCTCCAAACTACAGAATATCAATGGAGGAACCCTCAAATTCTATTCTAGTTTAGACCTGTGTGGAACTTCTCTGGGGGATGGAAATAGTTTGGACTGATAGAGAGGGATGCATGGACAGATGAAAAGAATCATCTCTGACTTATGGACTATGACTTATGGATAAATATGCACCCAAGGAATTTAAGAAGCTGTTCTGTCATCACTTCTTTTGACTCACCTTCCGACATGTCCACAGAAACGTCAGCAGGTCACCAAGAGACACATCTTCCATGATCATATAAAGTGGGAGTTTGTCTACACAACATCCAACCAGCTCAACCAGGTTCTCGTGATGGCCAAGATCTTGATGGAATTTAATCCTCCCCAGGAAATCCTTTACTTCCTGGGGACTGCCCAGGCCTGAAAGAACGGAAACAAACAAACAGAACAAATGAAAAGTACAACAAACAAACCAAACCCACACAGAAAAACCAAACAACAACGAAAACAAACAGCAGCAGCAAAGAACAGGGTGAGTAGCTTAAAATCAAGATGGTCAGGAATCTTTAATCCTACCAAGGCATTCCAACAAAAACACCATTCTGACTGGCTGACATGATACTGGACACAGCTTGTTCTTGCCCAGTAGTGATGGCAAAGTTCTGCCCAGCATCAGAGATCTGTCCCACGGGGGATCCTGACCACGTGCCTCACCTTGTAAGGCTTTCAGCACCACAGTCCTAGTCTTCCCAGAGCTCCCAGTTTCCAGCTGTGCTCTGTAGATGCTCCCACGGCCACCGTGTTTTATCAGCTGGAAGGTGCCTGGCAGGAGTTTCTCTCGTGGTATCTGCAGTTCCTTCAGAGTCAGGGATGCAGATTTTAGCAGGCTCTCCACGGATGTCTCACTTAGCTGCATGCAGCCATTCTCTGCTGAGCAGAATTCCTGCTGGTTCTTTGTCTTCACTGACAAAAGCAAATACAGATGATGCACAAAAACAGGAAGATGAACTCTTGCAAAAGGTGGCAATGCTCACCCTTCTATCCTCTTTAATTTTTGCTCCATAGAGTTTTGGAAATCAGGACAAAGTAAGGAACTGTTATTGTACCTTACTTACCCTGGTGCCTGAAAAGGAGAAAGAATTTATCTCCCACTCTATTTGATGGAAGGCAGAATTAGTCTGGAAATTTCTTCTATATTTAACTACATAAACTTTCTAGATCAGACACATTTGTACTTCATTCCTCTGTGCTCAAGCAATGACCCTTTTCTTTTATTACCAGCTCTGAAAGGGACATGCATGGGGTGTTCCCACAAAGGCCTTATCTTTATTCTCAATTACTTCCCTTAATATGGGCTTAAGAGGCCTCTACATACCCAAAATCAGTTCAAAACTGTATATTCATTTCCACACAGCAACACTTTGTACCAACAAAGCTTTCCTTACCCCCTCAAGAGTTCATATTGTCTCCATAAGAAGTGGGAGAAAGCAGCTTGAAATTGCATTTCTTAAATGACAGCACGGAAAATGGATTAACTAGGCGTGATCTACATCAAAATTACTGCCATTCGTAATTAATTATGTAAAACCCTCCTTGCAGTAGCCTCTAGAAGGCTGTTAATAAATACACCTCCCAGCTCTCACGTGTGTGTTAAACAACCTATATGACATGGTGCTTTAGATTTTCTCAGATCCATCTATACTGCTGCTGTCCATACTCTGGTTCAACCAACCTCTGGTTGAAAGCCCTGGTTTTTACCTTGGGTTCCAGATGGTGGGGGGGGTTGCTCCTGCTTTGCTCTCAAGCCTCGACAGTGGAGCCAAAGGATCACAGTGAGCACGATGACAAAAGACCCCACGAGGAGAACTGGGACAACGATCACTTCAGGTTGATATTCACGCACAACTGCCAGCAGGGAAAGCAAATGGAAAGCCAAGGAATAAGTGGTGACAATCATCTCAGTAACTTTCAACCCCAAGAGCACGTGTTCCAACCTCTGCTCCTTGGAAGAGCAGCTGGACACTGCTAGTGCTGCCACCCCCTTGTTCAAAACTGCCTGGAGTCCCTTATTTAGATGCCTGAATGGAATTGTAGCCATTTGTAAGCACCATCCACCACTGAAACAGAACCAGCACTGGCAGAGGGATAGCAGGGAGTGGGAAGGGCTGGACATTGCTAAGTCATCACAAATACACATGCAACTCCAGCTCCAGCTCCTTCCATTAAAATTACATGGAGCATTTTAAAGGAAACAGGGTGTGGGCACCTGCTTTGAGGTTTGACTGGAAGGCATTGCAGTTAACAAGGCTTGTGAAGGGAACTATCTTAGGTCCCCAGATTTTGAGGTGGTGCTATTTTTGCACAGGCCAAGACCATACTTCAGTTCCCAAAGATGCCAGAAAGTCATGAAATCAAAATCTCCCAAAACTGGCCCTTTGGGAAACTGCAGGGAACCTTTAGTGACTATTGCATGTCTAATTCAAATTAGAAATTTTCTAAAATGGCCAAAATTATATGAGATGAATCCTGCCACAAAGGCTGCACCCCCATAAAAGTTTCTCCCCTGAGACACAACGAAAGCTCAATCCCAGCTTTCTGTGTGGGCTGGGATGCAGGTGGAGGAGGGGAAAGGGCTTGGTCCACTTTTCAGCAAAGGTGGACTCCCTGCTCAGCATGTGAAAGCTTTGCTATTATAAAGGTTAATAAGCTTTATTATTAAACTATTAATAAGCTTTATTATTACAAAGGAATCTGGGAATCTTACCACACAGCTTGTCATTGCTGCTGCATTCCAGGAGCACTCGTGTGAACCTCTTCACATCCCCTGGCATGTTCAGCTACGAGCAAGGAGGTCTCCAACCTCTGCCTTCTGCACAGAGACAAGGAATAATAACAAAATTTATTAGGAGAAAGGATGATTATGAAGCAACAAATGAACTGAATATGCAGCTTTCTACCCCTTAAAATAATTTTCACTGAGCACTGAAGCTGTGGTAGGGACAATCTCTGTGGTGCTGCACTGACCATCAGAGGACCTGGACTGCTAATTCTAAATTGCAAAAATGAGTGTAGTGAATAGTTTGATGACTGACAGAAAGGTAAGGCATGTACATATAGTCACTGCTGCTTATAAACACTGCCAAAAATTTAAGACATAACAGCTTCACACACAGTATCCTCCAGAACATTTCACAGGCATTGTGACTTATCCTGCAAGCAATTATTTTGGGCTCTGAGTTTAAGGCAATTAACCTCAATGGCAAATGTTAATGACAATATATGGCATTGGTTTTATGGAATTCGGTGATGGAACATTAAACAGAGTTTGTTCTCATGCTTAAAATTAACGAGTGAAATTATGCTGTATCAGTTGCAGAACAGAGGCAGTGGACAGAGGAAAATGGAATATATCTGTGCTTTAAGGTATCACAAAAAGTCTCTTTCCTTTTTTTATTTAATTGGATTGGACTGATATGCCAGCAAATTCACCTGGTTCCAACCTATAACATATACACACACTCACACACAAATTCTTTCACTCTCACATATACAGAGACAAAAAAGACACATCTGAACAGACACAGAGAAATAGACTTTAGGACCATTAGCCAGTAATCAATGTATAATTTGAGTCATAAACAGTCCAAGCTCCAAGTTTGATTAGAGAAGCCCATTTCCACTCCATGTGTCCCATCATTTTGTAAAGCTCAGGAAGCAGGAACAGAACTTGTTCTCAATAAGATAATTCTGAGGTGCCTTTCAGTGCTGCTTTTCAGGCTGAGACTAAACGAATTCTCACACTTGGGCTTTTTCTGCAGCTTACTGGTCTAACAGTAACATTACTGCAGTTCTTACATTCCTATCCTCACAACAAGAATTGTAACTCAGAAATCCAATTGTAGCTCAGAAATCCACAGAACTCCCATTATACATTTAATACCTTTTGCAGTGTACCAGTAGGGGACACATGAAAGTTACGTGGAACTAACACATGGCAGGAAACACATCGACAGTGCTCAGTTACTTACTTTATTATAAGAAGACAGTTTGTCAGCGCCAAGCCAGGATAAAGGGGACAAAAACACCTCAAAAGGTTCAAATTCAGACTTTGCATTAGAGAATTGGTGCAATGGCAAGTAAGAGCCAGCTGGTTCCACTGGGGTTTTTAGTACTCTTTTACCTACACTGAATTCCACTCCCTGGACTTCACAGCATCACAGAATCATTAAGGTTGGAAATGACCTCTCGGATCAGCAGGTCCAGCAGCCAAGCCAGCACCACCACCATGTTCACCATTAAACCACGTCCTCAAGTGCCACAGCACATGTGGGTTTGAACATTTCCAGTGGTGGGGGCTGCTTAAACCAGTTCAGGAAGCCCAAACATTGAAGGTGAATGCAGCTGAGCTGAATTAAGTGCTCAGTGATGCCAAAAGAAGGGATTATCTCTTCCCTTTGCTTTCTGCTCACTCCTTGTTTTGCTCCCAGCTGTGCAACTGATAACATGGTAGACTGATCCAAACCACTAACCCAGCAAGAAAAATTCACTGTTTCTTTTGCCATGGTGGTTTCCTGCCCTTTTAGTAGTGGTGAATGGCTAATTCATCTGAAGCTGCACTGTGAGACCATTCCCACACAGATCCACAGGCACTGTGTGCCAGCATAACCCTGACTATGATTTATAGAGCCCCCTGCTATTCATTCCCACATGTAAACTGTCCCCTTAGCACTGGCAGAAGCATTCACTGGATCAGGAAGGTGATCTGCCCTAAAATAATCTATTTTCTCTCACATTTTATGGCCTTAAAGTTCTCATCAGGCTCAGTTTATGCTATTTAAAGTGCCAGGACTAAGATTTAAGAAGCCTGAGTGACAAATACTGTGGTGAAGACTGAAAAGAAATAGAAATATCAAGTGTTCCATGTCCATGGAATATGTGGGAACAGACAGCTGGAATGCTGCACACGCAGAAACTGCCTCCTGCTTTCTCCTGCCATGCTCAGGAAAATAAGCTGTACATAATCACAGTTAGTAAGACAGCTTTGCCACTGAACATCTGACCTGAGAACTAACAGCAGTTCCCACCATCAGTGCAAATGTGTAAATCCTTGTGCAATGATTAGCTACTCTAATAGCTAATCTTCTGTCCAAAGAAACAGCTGGCTAATCTAATATGACAAAAATAAAGGCCAACACTCATTTGGATCTTCATTTAAAATGTGCTATGAGCTGACATAGAATTAATGCAGTTATTTCTCCAGACTTCCTATCCCACATTAACTGCACACCACTTTATTATAAAAGTATTCTTACGCTTGTTCTCCATGCACTAATTGTGAGGACCAACTGGAATATAACTAAGGAACAGCTGAGCAGTTCCCCACTTCAGTCCAGCATATTGCCTGACAGATAAAAGACAAAATAAATCCTTTAACCACGATGCTTTCCACTTAATTTCTTGCAGTGGCAGAACCTTACTCCCAAGCTTTTTTCCAGTCACCATTTATTATTTTATTTTATTATTTTCCTCCTCTTTTACATGACCTTTGAACATGGGCACCAGTCAAGGCTCAGGCAACTGCTCTGCACGAGTGCAGTGTCCTCCTGGCTGAAAGGGAATTCCAGGAGCCACCAGGTGTGGGCTCAGGACAGCCCAGCAGCTGTGGACACTGAAAGGCAGAGAAGAGGGAGAAGAAAAGCGCCATGGAGAAGCAAACAGAGTGAAACAGAAGTTTCTCCCCTTGCCATGTCCCTCTTTTACTAAAAGCAGCATCCAAAGCAAATAAAAAACAAGTCTGACAGGTTTCAAGACCAACAGCTTGATACAAAAAGCTGTGCATTTGTTAGACCACATATTTTGTCTCTTCGGCCTTCAGAAGACCTGAGGGACTGTTTCCAACAGCCTGGCAGATCCTGAGACCTTTGCAAGGTTTCCCTGGCCCATGGAGCCATCTCATCTCTCACTGCGAGGCACCTGGGGGTTACCAAGCAGCACCTTCAACCGTGTTGGGGAAATGGGGAAAAAAACGGGAAATTCTGACCAGTCAGCCCAGATTATAACACACCAGAGTCACCTCTGTCCTTGTGACCAAGGATTACAAAAATGTGGCTTGCTGTACTGGTTGTACCACTCAGCTACAAAGGTTTAGTTGTATAACTCCCTTTTGAAACAGCTGGGAGCTGTAACACCCTGTAAGAAAACAAAGTGTTTCAAAAATCACCTACAGTGACAAAAGGTTTTCTCTTGGTCCAAAATTAGAGGCAGTACTTGAACACCAAACTCAGGCCAGCTGCTACTGAAGAAGCCCAGCAAGGGAGTGAAAGAAAATTAGGCTGACCACTTCTGAAGAGCCAGAACATGGAGAAAACAGCAAATAATGAGGTCCATGCTGCTATTGGAGCAGGTGGATTACTTAGGGCCAACTTGGCTCCTTTTCAATACAGCAGAAAAACTCAGATCACCTCACAAAAATTAATTTATTTGTGCCTTGTAAGGAATTCTAAGTACAGAAATGGTACAGAACCTGAATGGTGATTAAGACAAAAATATTTTTTCCTAATGCAGACACGGCCTGTTATGGTTTCTGAAAAATTAACATGTATCTTAATTACACTGCCCCTGAATTAAGACCACAAAAAGTAATTGCTAAAAGGTAATCTGCAAAATACGTTAAAATAATAATAATAAAAAGAAAAGTTGAGGAATACATTAACCTGAAGCCCTTAGAGTCTGGGATTGAAAAGCCTAGAGGCTAAACTCCCAACAGCACAGTTTTACCTATGACTTCCTTTCGTGAAGCCAAAATCATACATTACTTTTGAAAATGTCTCCTTACAGACTGAACTCTGATTTTGCTGGGAGCTGCTGGTACTAAGCCTGTACCAAACCCTAACACAAACTCAATACAGATATTCTGAATAACTGTGACAGCAAAAGCTGTGACAGAATGTAATAATAAAGGAGTTTTTTCTGAAGGATCATGCATACACGTAGCTCTTGTTGTAAAAAACCTGCTGTGTGATAAAAATATTACATAATATCACATTGCTGCTTAATGGCTTAAGAAATGGAAGATTAATCTGTTTTCATAAATTCACAGCCATCTGAAGCTGTGTACACAACTTTAGCTTCACAGTTTCCCAAGTTTTGGATGTTTCTGGGTGGATTTAACATGGATTTTGTTTATAATTTAATTTTTGCTCATGCAAACAGGTAAACATAGGAAAATGTATAGATATCTGCACCACTTTGGATTAGAGTTCACTGCCTCACAATCAAGCACCAGTGATGGAAGTAAAATGCTAATTAGTTCTGAATTCAGCCCTAGGCATGTATTACTCAACCAAACACTGAACATATTTATCCACACATGCATAGCATCACCCTGCACCGTTTCAGTGAACTGAGACTAATTTTATATGAAACTTAATTACTTTGTTAATTTCTTCCCGTTTAAAAAGTGCCCATAAGCTATTTTGTTCAAATCAACCTGCGTGTAGAGGACACACCTCTCTTATTTTTTTCCTCAAACCCCAATACCATCATGATCACAGAAATGTATAAGTAACTTCAATACAAGGAGTAAGCACATATATATACAGATATACACACATATATATAGTATACACATATATCCACAGACATCTAGACTTCATGGTACAGCTATATTCTAATTCAGGTCACATTCACGTTACTAAAAGCCTTTTTAAAAAATAAATAGTCATTAACTGCTCCTCCAGAAGTGTTTTCTCCCACTCACCTGGACTGCACCACTTCTCCTGCCCCGCAGTAGTCTTTTCCTGCTGCTGGTTCCCAGTTCGTTTGAGGCCACTCCTAACGAAGCTGATGATTACCTTGGTGTGGTTGTAATTCTTATGACTAAGTTCCTCCTTCACTGATTTTTCTGCCCCAGACCCGCCCAGCTTCAGTTCTTTTCTTCCCAAGGTCTTCTCAGCTGTCTCCCCAGGGATGTCCAACACACAGCTGACAGGCAGGGTCACACTCGCCAAACGGGTCTGCCTGCTCCTGCAGCGGGTACAGAGACAGGCAGAGTCCTCAGGCACCGACTTGGAGTGTGACTGGAAAGGCAGACAAACACAGGTGAAGAGGGAGAGGTTTATTACATTATTATTTAAGGTAATAAAAAGAAATTGGGCGCTTCCAGTCACAGGTTCACGTTCAGAAAAACTGGGTTCTTGGAACAGAAAATCCACATAAAACCCCTAAGACTCTACGTGCTGAAAAAGCATCAGGGACACAATCTGCAAGTGAAGAAAGAATAAAAAGGTTAATAATATCAAAACGTGCTACACGAGGCAGCAGGAACGCTGGCTTTTCTCACATTCTGCCTTGTCCCTTGGTACCCCTCCTGCTCAGGCTGGCCAGGGATTCTGCCAGCATTTTCCAGCCCTGCCCTCAGCTCTGCCCTGCCCTTTCCTCACACCATCCTGAGCTCCCAGACCAGATCAGACAATATTCCTGAACTTGCCCTCTGACTTTTTCCTGCCATGATGCCCTCGGGGTCTGTTGTGCTGTGCTGGTGCCCTCAGCAGCCGTGGGGTGTGATCTTCCCAGCATTTTAGTGCTGGGGACTTTCTTCTGCAAGTCCCAGCTCTTGGCCTGCCCTCCCCTGTCACTGCTGAATCCTGTGTGAGGAGTTCCAGATCCCTGAGTCCTGGTTATACAAGTCTACACAAGATTATTTGCTTGCCTACTCCAGGTAGTTGTATTAAAAGAGTAAACAACTGTTGAGAGACAAAGTTCATGTCACAGCAACAGCAGGATGCAGGTGGCTTTGGGAAGAGGCAGAAGTTGATATGATCTCTGCCAACTGCTTCAGCAAAACTCACCTACTCCTGTCTGGGGATGCATATAAGTATGTTGTTGTGGGAAAATCTGAGTTGTGGCAGAGTCAATAGCTTTAGATACCAAAAGACAATAGCTAGTTTATCCATAAGAGAGACTGCAGATGAATATACCTGTACACCAGTACACCCTAAACTTCCCTCTGGCATTATTCCTCCAGCTGGCATTCACTACCCACGTGTGCAAAATGGTGAAAACCAGGAGTAGTTTCTTCATTGCTTGATCTGTCTACAGAAGTGGGCAAAATAGTATCAGTGAAACAGTCCTGTGATGTGAACTTCCATCCCCTGAGAAACCAGGAAGGACACCTTCTAGACTGAAAATCTTCTTGAGTTCAAAACATCACTGCAGCTGCACAGTGTAGGCTCAGACTCTGGTTTCAGCATTCCACTCATTCTGGCACTAAGTTGCATTGACTCTCTGCAGTATTTTCTCCATGAGGGAGCAGGGGATCTGTCTTATTCTCCATCAAAAAGTGGCTAAAACGCAAAGGGCAGTTCCTCATTTAAATGAGTTCTTTACTGAAATACGTTCCACAGGCATCTTCCCCGGGGGCACCTGGAAAAACTTATCCAGATCCCTGTTTAAAAACATGATAAATGAAAATCTTCCTCCTTCTTTCAGTTTCTACCCCTCCCCACTGTGGAAGACAGTGTGGGAAGGCAAAGGGTTAATATTCAGGTAAGCATGTGCAAAGCAGCAATCGCTGCTGCTTTTAATTCCCCCCATCGATCTCTCTGTTGTGCTCCCAGTCTGACTGGGTGGATAAGAGATTTTAATGAGTTTAAGATTATACAGTTCAGAGTTCAGGCCTCGGAATTATATAATCTTCCTCGCTCATCCACAAGCCCCTCCCCCTGTTCAGTGAAGTGACAGAAGTCATTTACTGTGCTGTGAAAAACAAACTTTTCCTGCTGTGGCTTGTATTGCCTGTGCATCCACAAAGAACACACTGCCTGTTTGACTGCCTCTGTCCTGCTCTCTGCTTTTTCCTTGGACAATTATGATTAAATGCACTGAAAGGCAGTAGACTGACAGCTCTATTAACATACCCATCCTCTTTATCTCCAAGACAGCTATAGCACACCTAGAAACCATCCACACACAGATGGGGTTCCGGGACCAAGCAACAATTCAACCACAAACCATCCAGTCTTTGTCCTGTGTGGGGGACAGTTAATTAAAATTAGCACAGGGGTACTAATTTTGCAGTTCAGCTTCCAGAACTAAGCATGCTCCAAGTAACTGCTGCTGGACCAGAAAAAAAACAAACTTCAGGTGAAAGGATCCCCTTGTTAAATGTCATCGTGGTGTTTGTTCACTTTTACTTCAGTAATTTAGAGGCTGTGAGGTCTCTGACTTACTTTCACGCTCTAATGTAAGACTTAAAACCGTGGCTTAAACCTGATGGACTGGGACTGATCTTTTGGTCAACCTAAGCCCACAGAGGGGTAGAATCCCAGAAGATAAGGAGCTTTCTTTCTTTCTTTCTTCTTTCTTTCTTTTCTTTCTCTCTTTTCTTTCTTTTTTCTTTCTTTCTTTTTTCTTTTTCTCTTTCTTGCTTTTTCTTTCTTTTCTTTCCTTCCTTTCTCTCTCTCTCTCTCTCTCTCTCTCTCTTCCTCTTTAATTCATCTCTTTCTTTCTCTCTTCCTTTTTATCTTACTCCTTCATCCAAACCACACTGCCACATGCTTATATAGTATGTCAGGGACTCACATACCAATTTCCAAGCCAAGTGTGTAATTTAGTGAGTTTTTTTGTGGACCCTCCGACTTTTGTCGTTCCTTTTGACCACAGGCATTTACAAACCTTGGGTGCTCCCTTCCCCTTAAGGGTGGGACATCACAAGAGGTTGAAAGGTTCTGCAAGCCAGCTATTGATCCCTGACTGGGGTAAGAATCAGAATGAATGATCTAAAAGTGAAAACAAAAAACCTTCCCATCATCATCCCAAGTCTTTGTTCTGCCTCATGAGCTTTGCCTCTCAAGACAGCAGGTCTTAATTGAGAAAAATTAATTAGCCTATTTAATGTCTAAATTTTTTTTATCTTGAAAATGGCAATTCTAGTGTGATTTTCAGTTCATCCCTGCAGTTGTTATTTAACATTTCCAAAGGAGCAAAGCCTAGGAAGGGGTAGGAATTATATGAAAACAAATAAAGAAAAAAATAGCTTCTCCATATAAAACTGAAATGACTGAATGATTATGCATCAATTTTCATCAGCCAGGTGAAGGCTCAGTAGTTTGCCAGCTCTTCCTCTCTATTCAGGGGTTTGGCACTTTTTTTCTTTCTGTTAAATATATAAATTTTCCTCTTGAGTTGCTTCTCTTCACCACCACATTTTCACACTGTTCATGTTTTTCAGTGATAACCCAACAGCTCCTCCTGGCAAAACCTGACCTCTAATGACCTAAACACCCAGTACCTGTGCCTCAGACAGCTGGCAGTGAGAGTGTCTGGGGAAATAAAAGACTGTAACAACATAACAAGGATTTTACTCAACTGATTTTGAACCCCAGCAAAACTTTAGCAACAAAATGCTCATCAATTATACAGCATTCATGTAACTTGGGGGAATAAATACTTCATTTTGTTTATTTTGAAGGTGGGTTGTCACCAGTTGGCAGCGAACTGAGTGTTGATTGCAAGAGATGAGCAAGTTTGCTGCATGATGAGAATACTAATATATCAAATAATTTAAAAACAGGACAGAGTTTGCGTTGGTGGATGAAAAAGGAGAACAAGAGACAGCCCAAACCATTTAAGGTTTGGGTATTGATCTGGAATGGGACGTGATTTGGGGCATGGACAATTCAGGGAAGGTAATTCCTAATATCAGCAAACTCTTCTCAAACTTTGAGTCTTGTTGCTCATTCTTCAGCAAATTTCTAACTTGATTTTGCCTAGTCCTGCAAACACCTTCTCCAATATTTTTTTTTTTTAATAAAGGCAAAGATAACAGAATCATAGAACAGTTTGGGAGGGGGTCTTCAAAGACCATCCAGCTCCAACCCCTCTGCCGTGGGAGGGACAACTTCCACTATCCCAGGTTGCTCAGAGCTCCATCCGGCCTGACCCTGAACCCTTCCAGGGATGGGGCAGCCACAGCTTCCCTGGGCAACCTGTGCCAGGGCCTCACCATGCCCATTGTAAAGTACTTCTTCCTTACATCTCACCTAAACTAACTCTCTTCTGCTGTAAAGCTCTCTCCTTGTCCTGTCACTGCAGGCCCCGAAGCCTCTCTCCATCATGCTGGTAGGGAGATAATGTTACCAAAAATCCTCGGGAAGAAACGAAACTCTCCAACACTACCTTTTAAGTGTTAGTGAGCCAGGCATTACTTGATTCTGGCCAGAGACATGCAGCGAATCATTCCAGCCACGTGTGTCCCTTTGAAGACTTTTCACGTGTTTATACACTTTAGCAAACAAAGAAATTGACGTTTATTGTTTCTAAGTTACACAGCTCTCTTCATTTGATTAGTATTCTATCCTTTCTTGGCTACTTTGGTCTGCATTCTTTGGTCCTTTATCTTCCTCAGACAAGTCTCCAACTCGTGGGCTGTAATGTCTTTGTTAATCAATCCCCTCTGCATCTTCTGGTTGCTCCAACATGGACCATAAATTTAAGATCCCAGATGTCCAACCCTCAACTCCCTCAAGCTTTATTTACTGAAGCTCATCAGGGCCAGTCCAGAGAAACTCAAAAGGTTCGGTTGTTTTAAAGATCACACCAACAGGAGCCCGTGGAAAAGAAACCCAGCCACCCGCTACCATTAGCTAAAAATTTAAGAAAATATTTAGGAAAGTTATGTCATTTCCAACAGGGCATCCACAGCTCCTCGCGGCAATCTGTTCCAGTGCCTCACCACCCTCACTGTGAAGTATTTATTATTATCTAACCTAAACAGACCCTAAAACTGCTGCTCCCTGTGCTGCCACTGCAGCCCCCGCTCTGAAGCCTCTCCCCATCACGTAGGCGGGGAGGTAAAGACTCCCTGAGAGAAGAAGCAGGAGAACAGCTTGCAAACTTTAAAGGGACAAGACGCAACTTCTCGGTTGCTTTCAGGAAAAACCCCTGAAACCGCAACCAAGCGTCGCCGCGGCTTCGCTGCCCGGCCGTGCCGCGGGGCTGGCGGCGTGTGGGGCGGCTGAGGGGCCGTGACGCGGCTCGGAGCCGGCTGCGCTGCAAGGGGGCTGGCGGGGCATCGAGCTGGCACACGGAGCCGCGACACGGAGCCGGGACACGGTCCGGGCATGGAGCCGGGACACAGCCCGGGCACCGAGCCGGGACACAGCCCGGGCACCGAGCCGGGACACAGCCCGGGCACCGAGCCGCGGAACGCCGCACCGCCCTCCCTTCCCCTCCGCGGGCCGCCCGCCTCCTCACCCTGTGTGAAACACAGAATCCAGCGCGCGCGGCGGCAGCGCCGGACGGGCCGGGCTGATGGGCGGGTGGTTGGTGTCCCGTCACCGCCCGCTCCGGTCCCCGCCCCGGGTGAGGCGGGGCGGCCGCGGCTCCGCCCGGGCCCGTGAGGGAGGCGGTGACCGGGGTGGGCCGGGCTCGGCCCCGGGCTCGGCCCCGGCCTTGCCGGGCGGTCAAAGCGTGCCCGGAGCGTGTGGTAAAGGTAGGGGGTTGTGGTTTGTACGGTCTCTGGCGTACAGGGCTCGCCGGCGCGCAGTTACGCCATGGGAGTGGTTGTGTGAAGCGGCGCCCGAGCGCCCCAGCGTCTGCGAGGTTTGGCACCGCTTGAAAACGCTGTGGGGCCATTGCAAACAGTCCATTGCGTCCCTTCCACCTTTAGCGGCAATAAAAAAGCAGAAAACACACCCCACACACTGAGTTTCTGACAAAAACGTTGCCCGCTATGTGATGTATGTAGTTACTGCAGTGAACCTCTTCCATCTCCTCCGTCACGGTTCCATCCCATCCGTCGGTGGTTCTCAGAGAATTAAATTAAAGCCAATGCTTTGTGTCGCGTTGTCGGCTCTAAAACTACGTTTGTTTTTGCCCCGAGCGTTTTTACGTCCTGAAATTTCACTCCCTACAAACTTAAAGGTCAGGAAATCGTAAGCACTTAAACGCGGTGACAGAACTGAAGTGTATTTACTTACCTGGCTGGAGCCTGCAAGGGTGAAATACTGGTTATAAATGGGGATTTTACAACTCACTGAAAATTAGGAATTGCCCCTGGCCAGAGTATCTGGGAGAGAAGCTTGAAGACAACTGTAACGGGGTGACAGAGGAAGTTTTCTAATGAAGTGTTTGACACAGCGATCCTTGTCATTACTGACACCAAAAATCTTTATTTGGCACAAACAACAGCATATTTGAGTATAATTCTTTCTACTTAAATTAATTTCAAAATGGATGGAAATAATATGCAGCATACAGGTGATGGTCAGTAACTTCAAGGTCAGATTCCTGCTGAATTCACATGTAAATTCAAAATGTATATGCCTTTTTTTTTTTTAATTTAGTGCAATGTTACTTTCAGCTGTGAAAATAACTCACTTTAGAGTAAAATAAAGTACAAAATTCCTGTTTTCCTTGTAGATGGCTGAAGCAGAACCTCAGGAAGAAAACTGTGAAAACTCAATAGAGACGATGGAGAAGTGCAACAAAGACTTAGAAACACTTCTGGAGGAAATGGAAAGAATAACAGGTACAGATCTTTATTAAGAATTATACAGATTTGTCTACTAGAGTGAAGACACTGAAGGTTTATTATTTATATTTATTCTGTAAACTTCCTTGTGGTAGAAATGTAAGTGGAAACAATCACCATCAACGAATGCCCTAATGTTCTTAATTGTGAAAAAGCATGTAAATAAGTTTCAGGTGGCTCAGAATTAAAAATCAACAGGTAATGGATGCTTAGTTAAAAACAGAAATACTACTAAGGTGTTTAATGTACAAGTATTAAAACTTAGTATGTAAAATGAGACTTAATTCTGAAAAACATTGGGATAGGTACATAGCACCTCTCAGGTTTAATTCCTCAGCTACAATAAAGACTCCTCTGCAAATTTAACCTTAGTCCTGTTTGTACAGAGAGGACTGCATATTGCTCCCCGTGCTCTGCAACATTTCCATCAGAAACTGTGTGCTGCTAACAAGAACTGTTAATTAAACTTTTTGTAAGTAAACAATTCACGAGTGCCATTGCAAACTACAGTCACTTCTGGGTAAAACAAAAAGGCAAGTATGGCTTAAGTGCTAAAACTATTTGCTCTCCTTTATCAGATATACTCATTATTCAAAATCAATTTCGCTATTTAAGTTACTCATTATTTGAAGACCAAGATTTCATTGTTTAAGTTGTTATTAAAACCTTTTCTCTCGCTGTTGCAGTCTCTTTGATCTTAGTCTTCCTCACCTAACAGGAGCCTCCTGGCTGTAACTGGTCTGGAGAGAGGACTCCTTATATAATAGTCATGTATTTTAAACCAGTCTGTCGAACCTTTCTATTTGATTGCCTGTTTTGTTGTAATTTTTAGGTGAAGTGTGTATTAGTGAAATTACTTCATCATTTACATCACTGTAATTCCGTCATGAAGCGTTTTGAGACGTTTATAAAGAAGTAATACTGACCAGCCTCCTTAACCTTGAGTATTACTACAGGCAGTTTCCACTTTATTTTGCAGCAAAGCCTTCCCTGACTGATAAATAATTCACATCCTTTTTTCATTTATTGAATCAGCCACTGCTTTTTTTTAAGCGAAAATTCCTGGCTTAGTGGTGTCTGTTGGGTTTGCAGTTCGTGCAGCCTGGATGACCTACGGCATCGTAACCATCCACACCAACCCAGACCTGGCCAGCTCCATGAAGCACCTGGAAGATGCCTTCCTGAGGTGCAAAGAACAGGTGGGGAGGAAGTGGCAAGAGGTGCTAAAGGAATCCAAAGGTGAAGAGGAATAAACTGAATTCTCTCGTGCTGGCAGAGCCTTGGGAAATCGCTCCATTGATTTGCCGGCCGCGGAGGTTTCACAGCCACTGTGGAAAAGGGATTGGCTTTCACCGTGCTAAGAACTTATAAGTAAACATCTAAGGAAGTATTTAATGAGATGACACAGATATATTTATATTATTGAAGGTAAAAGGTAACAGTGTGCTTATTTCTGTGAGGCCCATCAGTAACCCCTGCAGTGTTTGCACACACCATTCACGCCTTCTGTGCTTTTCCTCCTGGAAGTTCACACTCGCTTCATCCTCAGTATAACTGGAATTCTCTGAGACCTGAGCACACTGTGGGTGGGGAGCAGGGCTGGTGTAGTGGACCATCCCAATGCCTGTCAAGGAAAACTGAGGAATTACTTCCTTTTCCAAATGAAAAACAGGTGACACTCTAGACTGAGTTAGTCGGATGTACGATTGCCATCCAGGTGTTCAGTTCCAGAGTTTCATTATTCAGGTAGCTCATCTGTAGGTGTTCCATTTTGTTTCACTGGATTTTTAACCATTTCTTTGAACTGGTTTTCCCAGAAAGATTGTTCTTCTCAAACCCTCTGAAGGGCAGCATGACTTAAATATTTAAGTAAATTTTTTTTACCATTATAGACTGCAGTCTGTGTAGTGGGATTGCTGCAGAAACCAAACCAAGTTATAAAACATGCTTTCTTCTATATATTCCTACTGTGCAAATATAAAAAAGGACCAAAAAAAATTATTTTTTAGGTGGATTGAGAGCACCACCTCGTGGCTTGCAGCTGTACATAAATATTTTACCTGAGATGGAAGTCAGTGCAACAAGTTTTAAGGAGGATCTTCCCTTGCATTCAAATCTGTCTCTTTTAACTAGAAAGTAAGCACCATGTAGCAAGTATCTCCACCTCCCTTGAAGAGGTAATGATTGAAATCCCATCTAAATGATCTATCAAAAGTTTGCTTGATTTGTAGACTATGTATATTTTGAGATGGGTTGATCCCATTTCACACAGAATGTTTATCCACTGAAGTGAAAAATAAGTAAATTTTTTTTTTTATTGCTACCAAATATTTCTAGAGGTACAAATGGTAAGGAACAAACTTTGAACTCTGCTCTTGACTTTCCACATAGGTTTTCACTGCAACCAAAGGAAGGCAAACTGGCAGAGCAGCACAAGGAAACTCACACTTTGATTCATCTCTGGAGGGTTTTTAATGGCATGTTGTCACTTTGGTACCTTTCACTACATTGCTTTCACTCCATAATTCCGTATCAGAAAATTATCTCAGAAAGGCTCAAGAAGAATAGCTGTTTTAGCTTTTTGCATAAATTCAAAATTTCAGTGCAGCCATTTTTCCTGTGATTTTACCCATGGATTGAGTTCTGCTGGTAACTAGGAAAATTCTCCTCAGGGACTTAAATAGTGGCTAAAGAGGACACATGGCATCTCCCCAGCTATAGAAATAGGGAGAATTTCTATATTCCAGGACAAATACAGGCACGTTGACATACATACTAGTTAGAGCAGGTTGGTTTAGTGACTGTTTAAGCTCACATGCCAAATTTGGGATACATCCTATGGTTGTGAAATTGCTGGGATTTTACACACAGTTTGTTGTATACACCAACTCTACACAGAATATTTTAAAGGGAGAAGGGCAAGACTCAGAAGACAACTGTTAACAGCACTTCCAAATCATGGACAAAAATGTGAGTATTGTATAATGTAAGTGAAAAGAATTGGCTACACCAACACAGTGAGCAGAAAGCACAGAACAGGGACCTTGGAAACCAACTGGCTGTTACAGACACACTGTACAAAGCGTATTTTGACTCACCACCAAACTGCTGTTACTTAACATATTAAAACAGCACAAGTTTGACTGTAACTTGAGGTGCAGCTCAAGCTGAGTTAGGCTGACACCACTCATTCAAGACTACGTGGGGCTCCACACATTTAACCAAATTTTTTGAGAGCAGGTCGCTTTCTCTACTACAGACATGTACTTTATAGCCAATTTTCCTTAAAATTCCTGATTAATTATAAGACTTTCATGGTCTTAGTAAAGTCACAATTTACAAATCAAAACCGATAGCCAAGCACTGAAGAATGATGATGCATTTTGACATTAGTCAGGAAATAAATGAAGTTCCAAACTTGGTGACAACTTTGGGTAGGTCTTTTCTATCACATCTTGAAACCTTAAGGTGTTAAAGGTAATTATTCATCTCATCAGCTGGTGGTATTAAGTCATCAAGATCGATTTTCTGCTCAGTGCATCACTGTCAAGCTCTAGGACTTCAAATCAAATCACAGGAGCATTGCTCCACTACTGTAAACAGCACAAAAGAGAAAGTTTAAAGTGTAGAATGATTACAATATAGAAGTGGCTCCAAGTAGGTATAAAAGCATGTTAACTACTCTGCAAATTCAGAATCCACATAGCCAAATGTCTTTTTAAGAAACCAAACACAAACTAAGCACTCATCTGAAATTCTGCTCATAGTCTTGCTTAAGGTACAAAGACACCACGGTTGCCAAGAGAACCAAACCTCATTACTGAGCACCAGCTTCATATTTTTTTCTGCCAAATTCAAGTAACAAGAGCTCAAGTGGCCCAGTAAAGGAACACAATTTATGCCCAGCCCAAGACATCTAAACTGTCATCTTAGTAAGTGCTTGAGTTAAGCCTGTATTGTCATAAGCAGGAATTCAGGGATGAAGTGGGTTATGTCAGTCACTTGCTCCTGGTTTATGCAAAGATTCTTCTTATCACAGAGGCAGGACAGAAATAACAGATAGAACTAGATTCCAGGACACTCCTTGCCTTTTCCCTCCTTTCTCCTTTCATAAAACAACAATGACTAGAGTTAGGTACTTTTGTTAAACTAATTCAATCTGACCTACATTTTTGCAGAGATGAAGAAAATTCTCTTTGGCCTGTCAAATCTCACTTCAGATATAAAACACCTACTTTTGAACAACTGAAGGCAGTTCAAGTAGTTTTTATGACAAATTCTTCAGTCACGGCTCAGCATTTACAAATACCTTGCACCTGTTTATTATGATGAAATTTCCAACCTCTCCCCAGTCTGCCTGAAACAGATTTCGTTCTGAACAAAACTTTAAACAGGGAGCAAGAACAGAGAAACTAGAAGAGACAAGGACAAAGAGCCAGCCATTTCTCCACTCTCATTTAGTCTTGTATCTGCACAGTTACAGCCTTGCTCAGACCAAGTGTTGTTCAGTAAAGCCTGGACAAAGATTGCCCAGCTAAGAACAGAAAGGGGTGTTTTAGGGAAACAAATACATTATCTAAGGTTTGGCCAACAGCAGCTGCAAGGCAGGAACGTGAGAAGTGGTGGAGTGGGGAGCGAAGGACACGAGATATCTGAAGACATTCTGCAGCTGGAAGTGGACTGATAACACTTGCAAGGCAGCAGAGTTTTAGGGAGGAACCTTAGAAAAGCACAGACATTATTAGTAAGACAGTAAATTACTTATTAACACAAGATGCCACAGGTAGAGAGATTTTATTGGTTTCAAGTAAGGAAGAGTGCAGAGGCCAATAAAACACACTGCCATTGTTCAGGGCAGAAGCCTGGCAGTTACTGGGTGTGTGTCTTTCCTCAGCAGAGGAGTCTCAAACTTTGGATCCTACTGTTTACACAACACAAAAGCCCAGCAAAACAGATGAGGAAAAATATTCCAGGAACTCACTTCACATCCCATAAACTCCTGCCACAAGATGGTGACAGGAAGATCCAAGCTTTAATGTCATCTGAGCCAGAAGAGCAGAGGGGACAGTGCAGGTTATAGCTCTTGTTGTGCAAGTTCTTTGCAGAAGTTGTTTTGGATCGAAGTTTATCCACCTACCCATGCTCATGTATCACCCAGCATGGTTTTAGACATCAAGACATACCAAAGAGGCAAGTCCCTTTCACACAGAAAGGCTGAAGCAACAAAATAATGGATTGTTTTAGAAGTAAAATTAAAAACAATACTCAAACAGGTTCTTTGAGTAACTGAAATCACTTTTATTTGTGAGGAACGTCACCCAATGCTGCACAGTTTCAAATAGATCTTAACAAGGAAAGCGGAAGTTTCTCCTCCCCACGTCCTGCAGTGATCAGGACTGGCACAGAAAAAAACAACTCATCACACTTGGGAGGTTTAGCACCAGCATCCAATAAAAAAAAAGCATTTTTTGTTTCAATTTTTAGTTCTTTGGTTGCTTTTTTTTCCCTTTTCAGTTTGATACCAAAAGAAAAATCGAAAAATTGAAAAATTCCTTACTAGCAAAACAGTGAAATTCTAGGAAAAAAAAAAAAACAAAACCCAAAAACCAAAAGCTCCACAGTTGCTGTTGAAAACTAGGGAGGTTGTTCTTTCTGAACCTCGCTCTCTTTTCTCTCTCATGCATCTCTCTCCTAGGCGTTCCCTGGATCTCAGCTGCTGGTAAGTTTTGTTTTCTTTTGCATTTCCGTAGGTCAAATCTTCGCTCTGGTCATCACTGTTGACAATTTATTGCTTGTGTGTTTCTTTGGTGTTACTTTTGAGCTGTATTTTAGGACACCTGTTGAAGAGCCACATCAAAAAAACTAAATAAAAATGCAGTTTAAGATTCATTTTCTTGTTGAATTAGGCAAGATAGCAGACAGGATAAGGACAACTGGCTTATCCTGTCCATATGCAGGGTCTTCCTAAAATGAAACATTATTAATTAGCAGCAGATGCTGTAACTATATAGACCAGATAGAGCTTTCTGAAAAAAAATCAGTTATAAAGCAAAACTTACTCTGTGACAAATACAGACACAGAGGAGAGGAGAGAAAGAAGAGAAAAGCAGCTCTGGTTTGGCTACAGAGCACTCCCAGAACTTATCACAAATATCAGGCCATAAGGGCACGTGGCCAGAGGCCAAGTCCTGGAAATACACACAACTCTGCTTCAGCTGGCAAACAGCAATTATCCATGTTCCTTACCTGAGGGATGGTAAAGGTGCCTGGAGAGCCGGGCATTACTCAGCACCACCCTGCTCTGTCACTGGAGCAGGAGTTTCAGCAGGTGGTTCAGTTACCTTTGTCTGAGACACAATAAACCCCGATTAGAGGCAAAGACCAACCTCCAGACCCTTCCTCTATTCAGTGGCACAGCCAGCATAACCCAGGTTTTAAAGTAATCAAGAAAAATGAATCCCCAGAAAATTAATATTAGTGTATTTCTTGTCCTTTTTGTAATTTTTATTTTTGTAATCTTGTAAAGTTAAGTGTATTTCCTGTAATTATTTCACAGCAGATTCTGTCAAGGGAACACCTCAAGTAGACACAGAATGAGAAAATCTTTCCTTGTTTAGGTAAAATCTGGTTTGCAAACAGTTTCCTGAAATGATCTGGTCTGAGCAGTTCAGGAAATGGATCTAGAGCTTTCAAATCCATCTCTTATACTACAGACAGACTGAGGGTTTGAGGAAGCTGGAAAATACAACTGGTTTCTCTGCACTTCAAAAACAGTTGTTACAGCCTGACCTTACAGTCTGACACCAATTAAGGACTCTCCAGAAGCAATCCCTATCCCACTGCCAGTTCCATTTAAGATAAGCTGCTCATTCTCCAAGAGGATCAGAAGCAGGCAGGGAAATCAGCACTTCAGAGCTGGTCACACAGCACACCAACAAAACACTTATCAAAAACTCATATAGGACAGAGGGTCTTGAGCATTCACCCCCATCAGAACCTCAGTCTCTGCCACACAGACTTATAGAATCACAGAATGGTTTGGGTTGGAAGGGCACCTTGAAGATCATCTCGTTCCAATCCATGGCAGTGGCACCGTCCACTGTCCCAGGTTGCTCCAAGCCCCATCCAACTTGGCCTGGGAGACTTCCAGGGATGGGGCAGCCACAGCTTCTCTGGGCAACCTGTGCCAGGGCCTCACCTCCCCCACAGGGAAGAATTTTTTCCTAATATCCAACCTAAACCTACTCCCTGGCAGTTTGAACCCATTCCCCCATATCCTGTCACTCCAGGCCCTTGGAAATAGTCTTGCCCCATCTTTCCTGCAAGTTCCCTTCAGGTGGCCACAATCAGGTCACCCTGGAGCCTTCTCTTCTCCAGGCTGACCAACCCCAATTCCCCCAGCCCTTCCTCACAGCAGAGCTGCCCCATCCCTCTGGCAGCCTGCTGGCCTTACCTCTTTGCCCTCCTGAGCTGGAGCGCTGGCAGGACGGGGCCGGCGCCGGTAGTTGTAGGGGCGGCGGTAGCCGCGGCGAAGGGGCTGCTGGCCCATGGCGTTGGCCTCGTGGTGGTTCTCCTTGTTCTCGGCCTCCCCGGTGGCTGGGGCAGGGCGTGGGCGAGGGGGCCCTCTGAGGAGGGGCAGAACCAGGTGTTAGGCATGAAAGATACCCAAGAAGGTTAAACTACAGTAATTTTATCCCAGCAAAGCCTTCCATAACCAATTCCACCCTTAAACGATCTCCTGTGTGAGCAAACCATCCCTCTGGAGTTTGACTGGCACAGGGTTGAAGAGGAAAGACAAGCAAGGTGGGTGTCTCTTCACTGCTGAAGATACATCAGCATATCCTACAACAAAGCTGTAGTTATCCATTTGAATTGCTGGCTAGGAGAAGAAACAAGCCAGCAGTGGCCACACAGGCTGATTTGCTATGTTAGCCTTGGTGTGGCTGTATTCCAGCCCAGGCCTAATAATTAATGGTACAACCCTTGGGAATCTCACTTCACCTGTCAGCCACTCCTGGGTCTTTGCCTGCCAGCCTCCCATTGGCTTCCTCACTGGGGATTTCCTGAGCCAGACACAGTTTGCCTTTCCAGAGAGATCACAATGCTGTTTTCTTTAGTTATTTCACCAGTCTCCCCCAAGCTCATGGAAGCTTTTAACATCATCAACATCCTGTGGCATGAAAAAGCTCCAGCAATCTGCTGCTTGCCCAACAACCTGAGCCAGCAACCTGAGCATGAGTCAGCAGAGCCCCCGTGCAGCAAAGGCAAAATGGGCCCTGGGCTGCACCCCCAGAGCCAAGAGCAGCAGAGAGATGTGAACAAACCAGATGGAATCTTGAGGTCCCTTCTAACCTTGCCTGTCCTATAGTTCAATGAACCTCACTTTGGTTTTCAGCAGGTCTCCCACTTCCTTCACTTGAAGGCTCCTCATAGCACACTCTTTTATCAGAAGAACAAGAACAATTGTGCCATCCTTTCCATGCTACTCATTACTCCGAGGACCTCTGTAATCCACCTTCATTTGCCTCTTCTCCCAGCCTCTGAGTCCTCAGTCACTTCACTCTTCACACATTTGTTCCCCTTCAATCATTTTATGAGTTTTCTTATTATTATGGAAGTTCTCCAGGCTCTTTAGCACCCCTTTTCTCCAAAGGCTCCAGCAAGACTTAACTCCAATAATCCTGTTTTGTTACCTTCTCCTTTAGGAGTTTCTCCAGGAACGTAAAATTTACATCTTAACTGACAGCAATACCCTCCCCTAACAAAAGGATGTACTACTATATTAGATTACATGCTCCCATGTCAGAGGTAGGACACAACTTCTGCTTTTACTGAATACTGAGGTTTCCTTTGTACCTACAAGTAGCACCAGGGCATAAAACCAAGCTTGTGTGACATGTAGGACTGAGTTCAATGTGCATAAACTACTGTCTGCAGTCCACAAGAAATGTTACAGAGCACACCCTGCCCCAGCAAATGACATGGACCCTGCACCTCATTTCAACTGTGAGAAGCAATGGGATACAATGAATTCTTTGCCCTCCTTTGGCCAATATGTCTCCAAACAACATATAACAAATAACAACATTTAACAAATTCTCCAGTTGTTTCCTTATTTCTGTGGCTCACCTTTCTCCCAGTAATTAAAGTGCTTCTCACTGTCCCTACCATTTGCACAAGTGTCCCTGCACTTAGAGGGCTGTGTAGGACAATCAAGCACCTGAATTCCAAACACAGGAAATGGCACCAACCTGCGGTAGCGGGGCCGGTAGGTAGTAGGATTCCTGTGCACTTGCTGAAGTTGTCCTCCTTCTGTGACCCCATCCTTGATTTCTCCCTCAGCACCCTGCTACCAAAGGAAAAGAGACAGTCAAAGATGAATTGTTACCTTATTTGACAGGCAGTGTATTAACTATAGAGCCAAATGATCTGGGTGCCAGTCCAAACCTAGTGTATCAGTAGAGAAACACCTGCACTGGTAAAAAAGAAGCAGCAGATTCTCAAAAGGCTTTAATTTGGGCAAAGAGGAGGGCAACACAAGAGCCAACACTGCTACCCCTGTTCCTCACAGGAACAGAATAAAAAACTACCCAATGATGCCTCCTCCCTGCCTGGGGAAAAAGGCAGAGATCTTGACAGTTCTCCCTGGTGCACATTCCAGTGTGTTTTGAGACATGGCATTGCACTGTAAGGGGTGAATGTGTTATGGAGTGGCAGCTACCGATCCGGACACTTCCCAATTTGGAAAGTTAACAGAAAGAAACGTTCTAGAGACCCCTTCTAGCTCCATTCTACACAAAGCCCCGTTCCACAGAGAACTCCCACAAAAACACCGAGAAATCTGAAGGCAGAAAAACTGTATTACATCACATCAAATACTCTTCTACACACTCAGTCTTGTCAGCCTTTCAGAGATGCAGTGGTTCTCTCTCCCTTTTAGTTGCTAAAGCTGATAGTGATAAAGCTGTATGTCAGTTTGGTGGTTTTGTGTTTTAAATGCCAGCCATCAGCAATGTCTGTTCTTTAAAGGGTTACCTGATTTGCAGTTCTCAGCGTGCTACTCTTCCCTTTAAAAGAAGGAATTTAACAAGACATCTAGAAACAGAAGTGCATCTTCTACACCTGATCCAGTAGGAAGCAAAAGCCTCCTGACAGCCTTTAGTAGCCTACATTTGACAGGTTTCCTTCCAATTCTACACCACCATCATATTTTGCTCTATTTTAACGCTGCAGAGGCAGGGAACTTTTCCTTAGATAAAATAACATGATGATAAACATTTAAAAAGCCTGGAGTGCTGTAGGTCATAACAAGAAATCCTGGGGAATTAAATGAACCTCAGTGATCAACCCTGACAATCTTACATAAAATACCCTCCAAATGCATTAATAATTTCAAGTGCAGTTCGTAGCTCTTCAAGTTCTCCTAAAGCAGAGACTTGGTCTAGAGGCAGGTGGAATGTTTCATGTGCTGTACCCAGAAATAGCTAGACCACCTATTCTCAACAATTTGACAGGGTCAGCTGCTGAGATTAGTATAAAAAATCTGAATTAAATTTAAAAAGCATCAACCAGTCTAATTGTAGGGAGGAGCACTCAACATTTTTCATTAGCTGAAGCTCTCCCATAGCCCTTGACAATCAGCATCACATTCACAGTTCTTTGAAAGGCACTATTGGATTTTTTTACATGTTTTTACTGGCACAGCCCAAGTCCACTCCTCCCTGCAGAGGGTTGGGCTGGAATCTCAGTTACAAGACTCCATCTCCTGTAGAGATGGAAAGAATGACTAGACCTGAGGAAGCATCACTTGAAAACATTGCAAACCTTTTCCTCTTCATCTCGAGCTGAATACTGTTATATCAATATTTTAAATGGTTTTGGCTTAAACAGTCAGCTGAAAACAGAACAGCAAAGCAACTGAATTGCTTAGCCCAGAAGCCCTGATAATTTCCTGCACTTCTATAGCAGCACAAAAATTCAATGAACACATTACATTAGTATCACTGTCAATTGATCAGAAGTGAAGTGTGGCTCCAGAATAAAACAATTATGCTGTCATAACTCACTGAAACAGGTGTAATTCCACCAGAAAACAGAACCGGGACTTTGAGGTCTTGTTTGACCATATGATAGTAAGTATATGAGATTTATTAGGAAAGTTTCTTGAAAGCATCACCCCATGTCTAGCACACACGTGTTCACTCAGTCTCCTCCACAGAAACCTCCCAACTGAGCCTGTACATTCAAACAAAACATTAGGTCATCCTAAAGGGCAGGTTAAAAATCCTGAAGATTTTTAGTTACAGCAGGCCTGGGTACACTGAAACCTTTTCCTTCAGCTGTGCAGAAAGAGTAAATACACTTTCAGCAAACACAGCTCAAGAGTGCCCAAGAGCTGGAAACACTCCCTCAAGTAGAGAGGCACAACCTCCAATGCCTCTGTTATTGAGGCATTGAATGAAACAGAACTTGCTCCCAATTTTAACAGATAATATCAAATCCAGAGGAGCAGTCCATGCATTAATGGCAAGACATGACTTTCAGAGGATGCTCAAGCCAAAGGAAGGACCAACAAACCTTATAAGCAATGGGAAACAATGACCACTCAGGTTAATGTCCTTCTGTAAACTATCATTTGTAAGCTTTTAAGGCTGTAATTCTTCCAGAGTCAGTGATCCCAAAGAATGAGCAGTATCCTTTCCATTATAAAATGCCATATGATTGCTAAAGGCATCAGGCACAGGGCACACAACAGCTGAGGTCTGGTACCCACACCAAATCAGCCTGGGGACTCAGATATAAGCAAGCCAGAGGAAAACAGGGCAATAATCACAATTTGTTCCCCTTGTGTACATCTTCAAGGACTGGGATCCAAGTGTGAGATGAAAGCCAGGCTTTTAGCAGCCCGAGTTTGCATTAGATAAGAGAATGCAGCTCAGCACAAGTACATTGAGGCAGGATTAAAGAAAACAACCTAATGATAGCTGGTATAAACAACTAGGCTTTAGGGAAGGATTCAACAACACTTGTTCTGTTTGCCCCTGTGCTGTCAGCTCTGCAAAATGAGAGGAAAGTTATGTTGCCTGGGCAGAGCCTTCCACCAGGGCTGTTATACTGGATCATTCACACATTTCTGCAAGTGATGATCAGACTTAACTATTAAAAAAAATATGTTCCAGTTTGTTGGATTGTTCCAGGCACCAATTTAGCAGAAGCACAATGTGGACAGGAGCAGTAACTGCTAGAACTACAGTCATGGTCCTCATGCTTACTTCTTCCTCTGCAAAAACCTGCAGGGAAGATGCTTAGGAAGTCTTGCAGATGTAATGAACAGTGGTGCATAGCTGGTTTAAAGGGGAAAAAAACCCCAAACACCATTATCTTTACACAGAACACTTGTAGGCAGAGGTCTATGAAGGGATGATACAGGGAGGTTTCAGCCAGCTGGTCAAATTACTGCCATGCCATGCAGAAGTGACAAACTTCTAAAATAAATCCCATTGTCCAAGTAAACCATATATAACCATAACTTGGAGGGTTATGAGTAATATAATATGTTTGCTTCAGGTAAAGGGCATGGTGAGCCACTTAGGTCTCAGCCCTTTGTGTTTACTTTTCAAACCAACACCCAGGAGATGCTTTTAACACATCCCAGAAAAACATGACAAGGAAGGGCTACCAGATACCAAATAAAAGAAAGTATCAGTGTCAACCCCAACGATGCGCTGGAGGAACCCGGAATGTTACTGAAGAGCACTCACAACTCAGTTAATCATTGACAGCTCACTATGTGCCAGTGCTGAAGGTGCAGTTCCCTCTCATGGAGAGCTGCTGAGGAGGTGGGTGACCAGCACTAAAGGAACTAAACTCACACTCCGAGGTGGCCCACGGCGTCGGCCGAAGTAGCCCCGTCGGTAGCGGCGCCGGTCGGCGGCGTAGCGGCTGCCTTCCACAGGGACTCCGTCTGGACCAGTGACATTGGCTGCTTCTGCACCCTGAGAGCACAACACACAGTCAGCCAGGGGCTGGGAAAACAACAACCAGCTACAGGGAGAGGATGAAACAGCGAAGAGGCTTTTTGGCCCAAGTTCCAAGCTACAGTGATTCCCTTCTCCCACTGAGGGCAAAAGCAGGTTTGTTATTCCCAACCCCATAACCCAGAGTTGGAACTTGGAAGTTCTTACACTTATTAAACTACCAAACTTTAAACAAACTCTCCAGAGCAATATATGCCTCAGTTAATGATTGCTGGGCAGGCTGCAAGCTTTGAATGCTCTATCAGGTAAAAATTACAAATTCTAGAAGCACTGGCATGTAGTTGAGGTAGAGTTTTGACACATATCTAGAAACACACCTTGATGAAGCCTTTAAAAACCAGCTCTCCCATAGAAAAGCTGTAGGAATGCCACCTACCCGGGGATTAACACATCAGACAAAAACCCCAGGGATACAGGCAAGGTTCTGTGTCACTCCCCACTCTGCTGGGCCACACTCCATAATCTCCTACCTTTTCTCCCTCGACCACATCAAATTCCACAGTCTCTCCATCACCAACACTGCGCAGGTACTTCCGGGGATTGTTTTTCTTTATCGCCGTCTTTAAAGGAAAAAGATGCAAAATCATATATATTTGTGTGTTACTTACCTTATAAATTCATAAGGGATTCATAGATGAGGGAAGGGCAGCATTCTTCTGCTACAGTCCCAACTCTACACACCAGATCAGTCACCACACCAAGATAGTTCAAACACACACGTCTCTCATTTTACAGTCCCACCAATACTCAGTCAAAGTTTACTCTTTTCGCACTATTTTTGAGTTTATACATCAGGATCCACTCTGTCCAGTGAGCTAAACATCCAAATCATTACAGTTCATACTGAGTGTTTCATCTCCTGCAAGCTACACCAAGGCAGCTCTAGCAGCAAGTGTGACCTGTGCCTTTGGTTATTAGGACACCTGTAGACCATCTACAGAGAAAAAAACCCAAAATAATAATCATTATTAATGATTATTAGTTAATATTATTAGTTATATTAGAATGCTTTAATACTACTAACAACATGGGTTTGCATCAAAACCTCAGGCTCACGGGAACACTCAAACCTCCTGGCGTGACTTTCAGTCTGTCAACTACAGACGCCTTTTACTCCGTGGAGTATTTCCAGGATTCCACAAAAATTGGTTGGATTCCATAAAAGTAGGCAAGACAAGCCTACTGTCTGTTCATCAGGTAAGGCTTCATCAACTGGGAGAGGCTGAGGAGAAAACACATGTACTGTACAAGCCAATTTAGTAGCCATTTTTTAACTGAAGTTATGTTGGATTGTTAAAGCCCAATTCACTTTAAGTTTCCTGATCTGGGCATCTTTTGTCAGCAGGAAGAGGGAGGTGCAGAACCAGTAAATAGAAACACATGGAAATACGGGGCATTAATCCAGCTTAAGAAATGGGATGTAGGGCAGAAAGAGAAGAAAGTTGGCATATCTGCAGTACAAGGAAAACAGGCAGAATGCAGCTCAGAGGAGTTGTTGCCTGTGTGTGGTAGAATATTCCTTCAGTCAACAACAGCCCAAAAGCATTTCTCACTGAAGGAAAAATCTAATCAGCTTAAAGTTGATCTCGACTAGTTCAGGGAATGTGTTCTCCTTGCTGCTGAATACAATCTCCTCTCTGTTTCAGGCAACAGGCCAGCCTGTCCTTGTAGCCACACCTGTCCCTGTACCCTGCAGCATCCCTGAACGGCTTCAGGAAGAATCTAAGAGTGTACATATTGTTACTACCAAAGCAAAAACAACCCAAGAGGCTGTTTGGGGGTTTTTTTTATACACAGAAACAGAACGAGCTGTCAAGTGAATTCTTTGGGGAATTATTTTAGCAAGCAGAGAGACTCACACCATTAGCTCAGACAACTTTGTTTGCTTTCTGCTGACCTTTTAGTGCAACTGCCCCATTTCTAAAAATCACACAGAGGTGTTTGCTTTTCCATAAATGTTATATTGCATAACCTGCCAACAGGAGACAGAGGCTGCTACACTCTAGGCTGGGGCTTGTTTTATAAAGGCAATCAGGACAATTTTGAGTAAATCCTAGAATTCCAAGCAGGAACTATGCGGCTTTACTACTTACAACTTCAGCTGCAGGTAAACACTGCTGAAATAAGCCTCTAACAAGCCTAAGCTCTAAGCTTGATGGAAAGACTTTTACCATGTGTATCCAGAGGGGAGAAAGCACTGTTCTCCCTGTTACTGTTTACCAGCACCCTGCAGGCTCCAGCTCCTCTGATTCAGAACACAGATGTTTTATATTAACATAGACAGCACTCAACAACAAAGCCTTTCCTTTCCAAAGGGGACACTGATGAACAGGCAGCTACAAGAGTCTTCAGAGCCAGTTTAGGGTTTTGTTTGAGAGAGTTCTTCCCATATGCTCACACCAGCACATCCCATGCACATCCAGGACTGTCACAGTAACAGCCAAAGGTTGTTATAACAGGTACAGGTGCATGATCAACACAACCCAGTGGAGTGAAGAGAAAGAAAGAGCCTTACAACAGAAGAGATTAACTCCTCCCCACTGCTCGTTGATTCAAACTATACCTAATTAAACTGGACTTCTCTGGCTGCTGACACTTGGAATGGTGTTAACATTGCAAGGCACACTCCACCCCACCACGACTGATCCCTGCTGCTCACACCACCTGTAGCTGGCTGACACAGTGCCCCAGACAGCACCTTGCATGAACCAAGCAAGACTGAGCTGAAGAAGGTGAAGAACTGCCCTTCCCAAAAAACACTGCTTGGGTCCCCAGCAAGACAAAGGGTTAACTCAAAGCAAGCCATGCATGCCCTAAAAAGAAAAGCATTTTAATCTGTACTAGGTTTATAAATAGCATCCAATAGCCAGACACCAAGCATTAACCCCCATTCCAATCATGAGATCGGCCTGTTCCCTCCCCACGAGGATGCAGGCAGGGGAGGCAGGGAGGAGGCTGGATCCATTCAACTAGGTCAGCCTTATTCTGAAGGGATTAGGCAAGTAATCCAGCCCCTCCCGGGCGGCGCGGGGAGGAGGGGCAGAGCCGGAGCAGGATGTTTGCTCACAGCAGGGATTTGCCTCCCTCGCCGGGCGGCCCCAACAGCAGCAGGGCCAGGACGGCCCAGGCTCTGGGCCGAGCTCTGCTGAGGAACATCCCACTGCAGAAACATCTACTCTGCCGTGCTCGAGAGGGCTGGTCGGGTGCAGGCCTGCACATGATGTGGTATTTCTGAACCAAAGCCAGTTTTTCTCTGTGTTCGCTCCCAGAGGACTCTCAGCCCCAGGAGATGGAAGTGCCCGCCTCCATCCCCCCTCCACATACACCCACCAGGTTACATTTAGGGGAACAGGCCCTACGGGTGAAGGAGACAAAACAGCACAGGGAACAGCAGCTTGCTGTTTGGGTCTCTGCAGGCAGCTTTCCCAAGCAGAACATTGATCCATGTCATCTCTGTCATCAGCACAACAGCCATTTTCCAGGATATCCTCTCACTCTCTCAAAGAGACCTCATTTGTCTTCAAGGCAGTTGTACAGTGCTGCCTATCCAGAACATGTTTCTGTTACCAGAACTCTTCCCACCCTCCTCTGGACACACTCCTATCAGAGCACTGATGTCTCAGCACGCTCACAGCACCAGTCCTTTAAGAAAGGAAAATGACCATTAAAAATCAATATATGCATTGACAGCTCTTGCTCTAAAGTCCACCAGCTGAACCAGGAATGTCCACTGTGCACACTTCCCAACATCACCTTCACTCATTGTGGGCACTGGCCTTACTCCCTCCTCCCAGCTTTATCCAGTTTCAGTCTACACCCTATGACCCAGAGAAACAGTTATCACAGGCTATTTAGTCAAGAAGCCACGGGAACTAAACCAACTCTCAGGGTTGGCTCAACTAACTATATATGCACCCATCCTCATCCTCTGTGAGCAGCCCTGAGTACAAGTTTCCTGGTTACATCTGATGGAAATACTGTCACTTATGCCACAGAGAAAGTTCCTGCTTTCAAGGATCATGTGAGCCTGCAGACATTTTATGTGGGACCAGCTCTAGGGGCACTATTTCATTTTCTGGTGAATGATGCAAGGGATGCACAACCAGATCTAAGCCAATAATCAGTTTACACCAGCATGGAGACAGCATCCTCTGTCTTGCCATCATTTGCCTGCAACCTGAGAGTCCCAGGATAAACTTAGAACAGCCTCCTGACAGCTCAAGGAAAGTGAACCAATGACAAGCCTCTGGGCCAGCTCTCCCTGCCTGGGCACACTTGGCACAAGGCCTTCCTCCTCTTCTTCCTGGGAGCAGCTGCCTCGTGCACAACAGCTGATGGCAACACTGGCTGGTCCACAGCCAGACTAGCTCACTTTCTCCCCAGTACCAGGGAGGGCAGACAGAACAAACCTGCAAATGAGGAGGGGAGGGAGGAACAAAAGACACAAGGAGTGTGAGGAAATGGCGGGGAGGAGAGAACAAGCAGCAAGGTATTTACAAACAGAGGAGGAGACAACCAAACAAAAACACAAACCACACCAGAAAACTCTCCAAGCACCTCTAGTGCTCAAACTGGAGCAGACAAAAAGAAAGCATGAAGGGTTATAATAACTCTTCAGTTAAACTCAAGAGAGAAGGAAAGGAAAATACAACCTAATATTTCTCCATGAAAATTCAAACATACACATTCATTCAAGGTACCTGCAGTCAATATTTTAAGAAGCTAGGACAAGGTTGGGTGGCTGTGGCAGGAGTTGCATTAGAAACCTACCATAGTACACAACTCTAAGCACAATCACTGCTGTCTTACCTGATGAACAAACACATCTTCTTTGGTATCATTTCTGTGAACAGAAAACAAGAAGTCGTAAGAGTTTAGGCTAAGAGACTTAAATAGAAATTCCTGGCTTTACAAGTGAAACCCTCCTTCTCTCAGCCTGTAGCACATGCCCTGAATTCCATACATTCTGTCTAAGTCTATGCTACCAAAAAGCTGCTCTGAACTTGTAGGGTCATATGCTTGAGAGCAGAAAGGACTCCCCAGCCTTCAAAAGTGTGAGAGGACAGGGGGAGGTTCTCTGTAATCTTCTGGCAAACATTCAATGTTTTGTTTTTGCACAGGGCACAGTTAATGACTGGACTGCTTGTTTTTCACTATTCTAATTCCTCAAAAACACTTGCACAGGGAATGCAACCTGAGCTGTTACCCCAGAGGTCAAACAAGACTATCAGCAGGACTGACCGCAGCTGTTAACAGAGATCTCCTTTCAGTGAAACT